GGCAGCCCCACCACAGCCGGGATCAGCCCCCACTGCCCGGAGCCAAACCCTCCGTGGCACAAAACCAGCACTCCCAGTGACCCAGTAGCTCCCCTCGACCCTCAGCTGGGGTGACTGGGCAGCAGGATGAGGCCCCAACTGACCCCCCACCACGCCACAGGGATGTGCTGGCAGCCCAGCATGACCGCGAGTGGCCAGGAAAGGGGACGGAGGGGCCAGGGGTGAACTTACAAATGGAAATTCTCCTCCCAGACCGGGTTGAGATTGCCGTAGATAGTTTTAGTCCTTTTCTTTGTCTTTCCAACCTGGACAGTGACATACGGGTCACTGGAACCCGTCTTATCCTTTGCTTGCAGGCCCTGGGCGCAAACAACTGCAGCAGAGCGTGGCGCGGCACAGCACGAGTGCCCACCCGCACGAGGCACACACGTGGCACACGCAGCGGGGAGAACAGAGAGAGAGGGGAGTCAGTGCCACAGCCGCGCCGACCCCCGCAACGGGCACCCCGTGCCCGCTGGCAGAGCCACAGGGGCCGAAGTCGCTTTGCAGGACGAGGGGCAGGAGCGGGGCTGGAGCACGCAGCGTCCCTGTGCAAGGGGACAGCCACACGGTCCCCACGCACACGGTGCCAGGCGCAGCCGGTGCCTACCCGTGATGCTGATCTTGGCCGACCATTTGGAGGTCCCGTCCAGGACACTCTGCTTCACTGCCTTCATCTGCTGCGTGTGCGTGGTCTTGGTGACCCCAAACACCTCCTGGATCAGCTCAAATATCTCCGGCTTGTTGCGCTCCCGGATCTTCATGCGGTCCTTGAGCACCATGATGATATTCTGGGTCCGGTCCTCTGCTCCATGCTTGGAGCTCTTCTCTGCCGCCCCTGGGAGAGGACAGCCATGGGTGAGACGACGAGGGCAGGTGGCATGCAGGAGAGAGCCGAGAGCTCCCCAAGCCCACCACTCAAGTATGAGTGAACTCAAACCCGGAGGGTCTACACCCTGCCCAGGAGAGATCTGCCCTGCTCAGCACTTCCCCCACGCCCAAGGCAGGAGGCCAGCTCTCCCCAGGCCACTCCCTCCTCCCTCTCCAAAGGGAGAAGGGACGAGGCGGCAGCCAGCGGCTCCTTACTCTGCAGGCAGTCGGCGTTGAGCAGGTCCTGGCACTTCTCGTGACACTTGACGCCGCACTCGGCGCAGCGCATGCCCTGCCGGGCGATGCCCCACAGCAGCCCCTCGCACTCGTAGCAGTAGGTGGGGGTGGTGGCCGTCCACACCTCGAAGTTGTGGGGCGTCGTGCAGGAGATGGGGTACACTAAGGCTTGCAGGGTCTTCTTGTAAACATGGTTTTTCTGTGCAAGGACAGGAGAGAGAGGGGGGAGAAAAGCTCAGGCAACGTGCAGCTGCTGAGCAGGGCTGGGTGCGGAGAGCCCATCTGCAGGTGCTGGGCCACGTGCAGTGTCACCGGCGGGTGCGGACACGCAGGGCAGGGTACAAACACCGTCACCCGCGGGTGCAGCCCTGAGCATCCTGGCTGCTTTGGCATCGCCGGAGGAGGATGCTGGTGTGGCGCAGACCCCGCGTCTCCGTCGTTGTCCCAGCCGGCTGGGGCTCAGCCTTCCCACCACGACCGCCCTGCACCCCAGCCATCCCAGCACCTACCAGCTCCTCGTTGTTCAAGGTGCTCGAGGCCAGCGCAGACGTGATTCCCGCTTTCCGGGACTGGACCAGGGACTGTGGGAAAGAAACGCAGTTCACAAATCCGGCAGAGTGTGGGGTGTCCCTCCCACGCCCCTTTGGCGTCTCATTGGCCATAAAACACCTGGGAGGGACCCCCACCCCAGAGAGGGGTGGGTGCTGGCTACAGGGGCTGGCAGCGGGGACAGCCCAGCTCCCAGTGATGCCAGTGCTGCAAAGCGCTGTGCAGTGGGACTGGAACCAGTTCAGCAGCCTGTGGCATTCCCAGTTAAGCCCCAATGGGGCAGAGCCTCTCGAAGTGTG